CTGATAGAAAGTGATTGAAACCTTGTGAATATGGTCCTTAGGCAGCCTTCAAACCTGGAACTGAACTTACCCTTGGGACTTAACTTTCAAGCAAACAATAAACATATAAAGTGAACAAGAACACCCTTAGGAACATTTTCCTGAGAACAGTTAACCATAGAACACCGGGACAGCATTTCCTTAAAAACAAAATTCAAGAGGCAGAAAGAACAAGGAATAAAGGACACATGAAAATAGGGAAGCTGGGAAGAAGTGTTAAGAGTGTTCTTCCATTGGGAAAATTGTTACTGAGGTCATACAATGCAATGTGTATAAATCGTTGAATGAAAAAAAAAGGTAACCTGTTCTATTGCTCAAATAATTTATTTTTTAAAATATTTTTTTATTGGATAAAACATATTGGGGGTGCAAGGAGGTGAGGGTTGGGGGCAGAAGGGTGAGGATGGGCCAGGATGCAGTTGCAGAGCTGCACAGTTTGGTCGGTGGGGGGAGCAGGTGAAGGAAATGATGAGGGTCCAGTGGGGACCAGATGCTACAGAGGAATGACAAGTATTTTCCAATGGTAATTAAACCAACTGTCTTATTGATTTGGGAATTGGATGCCGACTCTCTGGCTTCTTCATGTTGTCCAGGGGCGTAGATATAAAGGGGGGAAGGGAGGACGCTTTATCACCTTACTGGTGGTCTTGGGTTACAGCTGCTTGCCTTCTTGCTCCTGAGGGCCGCGACGGCTCGCCCCAGGCAGGGGGCCGAGGGCTGCCCGCCCCGGGCAGAGGGCCACGACGGCTGAAGTAGTCTTTTTTTAAAAAAGGAGAAGAAAAAGTGTGTGTGTGTGAGTGTGTGTGTGTGTGTGTGTGTACCGTCAAATTGGATCTGACTGGTACAGGAGACTGCCCCTCCTTCTCCAGCAGAGCAGGAAGTAGAGTCTGGTTTCCCCCCCTCCCCCCAGGTGCCTGTCGGGGCCTGGGTTTCAGCTGTCCACACCACAGCAGTGGGCAACGAGCTTAAAGCCCCTGATGGCTCTGGGCGCTGACTCTCACCAGTGGCTATGGATGAAGTCACAGGCGATTTTCAGGCAGTGCCGCTGCTCAAATAATTTATAAAAAAGTTGTCTTCTCATAGAATATTGTGCCAAGTTAATTTTTATTGTTTTTCAGATCATTTGTTTATTTGACAATCCAATAAATACTTATTAAATGAATGCATTACATCTGACTGTGTGCTAGGCAAAGAGAATAACAAAACCAACTCTTTTGCTCTTGAGCTCAAATGGAAAATAGTTGTGAAAGCAACCCAAGAGTTAAATGAGTTAAGTGAAGGGGAGGCAAAATAATAACTGGAAGATCTAGTTGTTATGCTTTAATGTGGTAAGTCATTTCTTTAATATGCGCATCATTTTTATTCCACCAGTAATTCTTTGTGAGAAAGATGAACAGTCTTCTCTTCAAACACTTAAGAGCATCAGAATCCAGATAGAGAGTCGCCGTGTGTTGAAACCAATTTGATGGCTGTAGACTTGGATTAGTTTTGGTAAAACTGATTGACTCTTTGTAAGAACATATAATCCTTCAAAACATAAAGTGGTAGTGAAATTCAACCAGGATACGAAACTGGCTTCTAAAATTCTTCGAACTAAGTCACAGTACAAGCTATTAGAATGCATTCATTTCTCATCTTCTCCATTTTCAGTCAAGTTCCATCTGACATCAGCAATGATATCCCTGGTGCCATGGCTTCTTCTGAATCAAGCTTAGCATGCTGGAAATTCCCTATCAATGAACTGTTCAAGCTGTTTTTAAATAGCCTTCAACAAGATTTTACTTGTAGGTGCTATTAATGATACTGTTCAAGAATTTCCACATTCTGTTGAATCACCTTTCCTGGGGGAACAAGAACAAATATAAATCTCCCCCAGTCATTTGGCCAGGTAGCTATTTCCATAATGGTTGGCAGAATCTGGTGAGCATGTCCAGGATTGCATCTGTTTCCTGAAGCACTTCATTTGGTATTCTGTCAATGCCTAAGGGTCTTATATTTTTTTTTTTACCATTGCTTTTGACTAGGCAAAGGTATTTGTGTAGATTATAACAAATTATGGGTAGCTTTGAGAAGAATGGGAATTTCAGAACACATAGTTATATTCATGTAAAACCTGTACATAAAGAAACTTTCCCCCAAACTGAACAAAGAAACACTGTGCAGTTTAGAATCAGAAAAGATGTTTATTGGGGTCGTATCTTTTCTCTATACCTATTCAGTCTGCAGACTGATCAAGTGTGTGTGTGTGTGTGTGTGTGTGTGTGTATAATCTCACATACTTTGGGAATGTTGTTAGAAGCAAGTCCTTAGAGAAGGACACTGTGCTTGGAGAAGAACATGGCATGAAGATTGAAGGAAGACTCATCAATAACTTGTGTTATGCAGATAACACAATCTTGATTGCAGAATGTAAAGAAAACTTGAAACACTTGCTGTAGAACATCAACGTGGGTTTTATTTTAACACTAAGGAAAAAAATATCTCTACTGCTGGACTATTAGGCAACATTGTGATAGAGAAATGTTTAAAGCTGTCAACATTGTAATTTCATTTGGATTAACACTCAGCATCCATGATAGAAACAATCAAGAAATCAAAGGACATGTTACATTGGGAAAATCTGCTGTCAATGGCCTCTCCAAAGTGCTAAAGAGCAAGGATGTCAGTTGAAAGACTAAGGTGCTGCTGGTCCAACTGATATTTTCAACTAATTCTTATGAATCTGAACATTGGAGTCAAATCAACTGGCTGGTCCTCCATTGGGTTTTTATAGCTGTAAATTGCCACTGATGTACTTGGACCACTACTTCCTAAGTCTATACCACCAGAGCTATACTCACAAGTGTAGTCAAACTTTGACTGCAAGGTACAGAATTATACACAGCATATATTCCTTTGTTTTAGGCTTTAAAGTAAGTAATATATTTACGAGTGCATTTATTTTACTCAGTGAGTAGTATATATGTAATTGTACTTTTTTTCATATCTTGAATAATTTACAGTTTTACATTCCAAAAGTTAAGTATTTATACATTATGTGGACATATACTTGACTTAAATACATATTTTCTGAAACTATTTCAAAAGTTTCTAGTTGGGTGGAGTGAGAATAAAACATTTTTAAGTGAATTAAGAAATTTTTTCTTATATTCATAGTTTCTAAAGCTAAGAAGTAAATACCTGATTTTGCTACTAAAAGCTAAGATGCAAAGACTGTGAAAGACTGTGTTGATGACAGCAGCTGTCATCAACACCAAGACACTGATAAGACAGTAATTTAGCAATTCCACTTATCTTAAATAAAAAAATAAATCAACTACAAAGGAAGTATTTCTTATAAACATTACCTTTTTAGTTTTCAGAAATGCACTTCAGGAAGGGTCTGTTATTGATTTGGAAACTTTTAAGCTGTTTTCAAGATTTCAAACCACTTCTCCCATTCTCATCCAAAATTTAACTCAAGGTTTTGATAGATGTTAGATGGAAGATATGCAGGAAATAACAAGTAGGGTAGTTCATTGCCTAGGGCATCAAAAGTTTGTGTTTCTTGCCAAGGTGAAGCAGAATATATTTGCATGAATAAATTCCAGTATATCTTACCTTGAAATGTCTTTGATTTAGTCTATGCTCTCACTTATGTACCCTGAAACTCATAGTAAACAAAATTATTTTCATCTCATTAATTAGCAATTGGCTTCTTTATAATTTTCATTTTTATGTTAATTTAATTTCATTTTTAAATTCACATGATGGTTGCATGACTGATAGCAATTAAAAGATACTCCACATATTGTTTATAAATGTTTTTCAGTGTGTTTGGCTCTAACTGGCAGTATTATCTTAGAAATAATGCTTGTTATTTTTGTTAGGTGATGTTGAGTATAACTTATAGTGAGTGACCCTATAAACAACAGAGCCTAATCAAAACATTGTGACATTCTAATCAACTCTTATACACTTGAGCCCATTGCTGCATTCATTGTGTTGATCCATCTTATTGGGTGTGTTCCTCCTTTTTCCCTGACCCTTCACCTTTCCAACCACAATGTCCCTCTCAATTGAATACTCTCTCTTACCAACATGTCTAAAATAAGTAAAGCTTTGCCATTCTTGCCTCCAACGAGAATTCTGGCTACACCTTTTAAAATATTTTCTTTTAATTGTGATTCTAAGAAAGTTTAAAAAAAAGTTGAATTTTTATTAATTAATTATTGCACATTTTATACCTCTTATTCTAGACTGTGGTCATACATATGTCTAATCATATATTCCTTTTAAATAGTTCTTTCCTTCACCTGTTATTGCAGTGTTATCTATCCACTCTTTTCCTTTTCTCCTCCCAAACCATCATATCAGTCTTGTTTTATAGCAGTGGTATTATGTAGCATTTGTCCTTTTGTGACTGAGATATTACACTCAGCATAATGTCCTGCAGGATCACCCATGTTGTGTAATGTTTTACAAGTTCATTGTTTTTCAGTGCTGCATACTATTCTATTGTGTGAATATACTTTATTTTTTCTACCCATTCATTTGTTTACGGTCTTGGGTTGCTTCTATCACTTTGCTATTATGGACTTTTCCCGATATATATATACACACACACACACACATATATACATATATATATATGTGTATATATGTATATGTATATATATATATATATGTGTGTGTGTGTGTGTGTGTGTGTTCTTTGGGAAGGTCATGGAATATTCAGCACTCTTCTCCAACACTACAACTCAAAGACATCATTTCTTCTATCATCCTTATTCATTGTCCAGCACTCAGATGTATAGCGAATGATTGAAAAGTTCATGGCCTGGCCCACAATATAAGATTTCTCAGTCTGGATAACTTCCAGCAAGCTTGGGCTAAGTCAACAGATCACACTGCTGCTCCTGTGCTAGCGTTTTCACACACCCCTACAGTATAAAAATTGTTTCCTTATATTGATCCCACAGTTATTGATGATTTGCAAGACCATACGTCTGCAGTTAAGACAGCTGGAGACATTTCGTCAGTGGGCACTAGAAATTTCAATCATAAAGACTTCTGACACCTCAGGCTCCACATCATTTTATTAGATGATTTGAAAACAACAACATAGAGAGAGCTCTGTTGGCCTAGTAGATAGAAAGTTATGTTACCAAGCCAAAGGTAGGTGACTTTTGGGGTTTTTTTGCCTCAAAAAGGGACATTTATTCAAAAGTGTGGGGGTAGTGGAGGTGAAGGACCCCCGAACCGCTGGTCCTGTTCTGTCCCGAGTGGACGGCGAAGACCCAAGACTCCAAGACACCGGCTTGATGCAACAGCAAGAGATAAGAGATTTATTGCGGAGCTCCGGGGGCCGACTCTTATCTCTCGCAGGAGACAGAGGAGCCGACCCCGAGCAGACAAAGTTGGGTTTTTTTATACACTTTAGGGGGATACAACTGAGTATCAGCTTCTCATTGGGTGATGAAAGCACAGTTTGAATTCATTGGCTCAGTGTTCGCTCAGGGTTTACACAGCACTTTTGCACGTAGCACTTGTGGCAGTCACGTAGCACATGTAGCAGTTAGATAGATCTTTAACTATAGGGTGGTGTCATAAATTCTTAAGTATACAATGAGTTCAAACTCCAGGACAGTGGAAAAGCACAAGATACATTGGTTATCAGTCGGGAAACAAAGGCACATGGGTTATCAGTTGAGAAACAATCTTTGCTTGTTTGCTCTGCCTTTCTGCTAGCCATTCTTGAAATACTGTTGCCTTGGATACAGCTGGGTGTGGGGCTCTACCAGGGACAATGGAAAAATTCCTGAGTTTAACTTAGCTGAGAACTATAGAAACTTGAGTTTAATTCAGCTGAGAACTATAGGGACTATATTAATTTCAATCTTTTCAGAGGAAGTGGAACAAAAAAAGACAAGATGTCCATCCCTTGGCTCCCTTCACTCCCCCTTCCTGCTTGAGCCCTCCAGAAAGGAACCCTGGACCAGGGCTATAGCAGGACAGATGACCCATCTTAGATGACGTCAGCATCATTAAGGGGCATTTCCTCAATGGAGGTGTTATAGAAGGTCTCAGTTGTCTCAAAGGGTCCTTTTCTCCTCTTCTGTCACAATGTTAATAGACACACCCTTACGGCCAAAGCACCCACCATGTCCCATTCTGTGAATATAATTTTTCACTGTTGGTGGGAAGGTCATAGTTTATGACTAAAGCAACTTGTTGTATGTCAATGCCTCTGGCCAGCAGGTCAGTAGTGATGGGAACTCTGCTGGAGCCAGAACGGAACTCCCTCATGATCACATCTCGTTCCTTTTGGTCCCTATCTCCATGCATGACAGAGACAGTGAAATCCTGGACATGAATTTTTTTCAGTGAGCCAGTCACCCTTCCTTCTGGTGTTAATGAAGATGACAGCCTGTGTGATCATTAATGTTTCATACAAATCACACAGTGTGTGCAGCTTCCACTCCTCACGATCCACACTGATGTAGAATTGGCGGATAATTTCCTGGGTCAGTTCTTCCTTCTTGACAAGAATCCGAATGGGTTCCCTCATGAACTTCTTGGTTACTTCAAGCACATCAGAAGGCATTGTAGCGGATAACAAAACTACCTGGGTGTTGCTATTGAACTTCTGGAATATGTCACAGATCTGGTCCTTGAACCCACAGCTTAACATTTCGTCAGCTTCATCCAGTACAAACATTTTTATGTATTTGGGAGAAAGGTATCTTCTATTAAGCATATCAAATACACATCCTGGCGTACCCACGATGATGCATAGAGCCTCCATCTGCAGTTTCTGTACTTCAGCATGTACATTGGTGCCCCCAATGCCGGCACGGCAGGAGGCACCCATGTAATCTCCTAAGGCCATTACCACCTTGGAATTATGGAACAATATCACTAATATAACATACTTGCTGAAGATTATTCAAAACTAACTGGATCAATACAAAGACAGAGAATTACGAGAAGTACATGCTGGGTTTAGAAGAGGACATGGCACTAGGGACATCACTGCTAATGTCAGGTGAATCTTGGCTGAAATCAGAGAGTACCAGAATGTCTATTTGTGTTTCATTGACTATGAAAAGGTGTTTGATTGTATGGATCACACAGAAATTGTGGCTAACCTTAAGAAGAATGGGAATCACAAAACATCTGACTATGCTCATGTGAAATCTATACTTGGACCAGAAGGAAGTCATCAAAACAGAGTTAAGAAACACTGTACATTTCAAAATCAGGAATAGAGTGCTTCCAGGATGCATTCTGTCTCCAGAACTTTTCAATCTATATATGAAACAAACCATTAGGAAAGCTGATCTTTATGAGGAAGAAAGTGGCATCAGAATCACAAAAAGACTCATCAACAACTTGTTATGCAGATGACACCATATTGCTCACTGTAACTGATTTGCTGCAGAATTCAAGGACTACAGTCCTCAATATGGATTCAACAAAACAAGATTCTCACTACCGGCCAAAAGGCAGCATCATAACGTTGTTGTTGTTGTTGCTATGTGCCTTCGAGTCGCTTGCGGCCCTATGTACAATAGCTCTAAATTCTGCTCTGTCCTGTGCCAATCTCATTGTCTCTGACACACTCATCCCGATTGCCCCAGTCTCCGAAACAATCCATCTCCCAGAGGGCCTTTCCCTCCTGCACCTGCCCTCCACCCGCCCAAGCATGATGTCCCTCTCCAAGGACCATTCCCTCCTTTCAACATGACCAAAGTATGTGAGACTAAGCCTCAGAAACCTTGCCTCCAAGGAGCAGCTTGGTTTCATCCTCTCTAGGATGGATCTGTTTGTTTTCCTGGCAGTCCATGGTATATTCAGTACTCTTCTCCAGCACCACAGCTCAAAAGCATCCACTCTCCTTCTGTCCTCCCTAGTCATTGTCCAGCTCTCTGATGCATAACAAGTGTTTGCAAAGACCATGGCCTATACCAGATGCACCTTATTCTCCAGAGACACATCGTTGCTCTTGAGTACTTTAGAGTGGTCCCTAACAGCAGACTTTCCCATCGCAATATATCTTTAAATTTCCTGGCTGCTAATGCTGAGAATGTTGATTGTGGAGCCAAGTATACTAAAGCTGTGAAAAATCTCAACCTCTTCACCATCCATCGTGATGCTGCCAATTGGTCTGGTGGTGAGAATCTTTGTCTTCTTGACATTGAGCCTCAATCCATATTGAAGGCTGCAGTCCCTGACCCACAGCAGCAAGTGCTTCAGGTCCTCCTCAGTGTCAGCAAGCAGGGTTGTGTCATCTTCATAACAAAGATTGTTGATAGATCTTCCATCAATCCTGATGCTACATTTCTCCTCATAGAGCCCAGCCTCCCAGATAATCTGTTCTGCATACAGGTTGAAAAGGTATGGAGATAGGACACATCTCTGGTGTATGCCCTTCCCAATTTTGAACCATGCAGCAATTCCTTGCTCTGTTCTGACGACTGCCTCTTGGTTCAAGTATAAGTTTCTCATTAGCACGATCAAGTGTTCTTGGATTCCCATTCTTCTCAGAGTCAGCCACAGTTTGTTATGGTCCACACAGTCAAATGCCTTTGCATAATCAATGAAACACAGGTAGACATTCCTCTGGTACTCCCTGCTAATATCCATCTAACATTAGCTACAATATCCCTAGTACCACAACCCCTTCTAAACCCAGCCTGGACTTCTGGCAGTTCTATGCTGATGTGCTGTTCCAGTCGTTTTTGTATAATCTTCAGTAGAATCTTGCTTGTATGTGAAATCAATGATATTGTTCTGTAGTTTCCACACTCAGTTGGGCCATCTTTCTTTGGAATGGTAACAAATACAGATCTCTTCCAGTCAGTTAGCCAAGTGGTTGTTCTCCAGATTTCTTGACACAACTTGGTGAGCACGCCCAGGGCAGCATCTGTTAGATGAAATATATAAATTGGTATACCATCTATTCTTGGGGCCTTATTTTTTGCTATTTCTTTCAAAGCTTCCTTCATCACCATAGGCTCTTACTGATATGTTGTTTCATTAAATTCTTCTGTGTCTGCTAATTCCTTTCAATACAATGACTCAGAATATTCTTTCCATCTTCTATTGATACCTCCTGGATCATTTAATGCTCTGCCTAAAGCATCCTTGATTATAGCAACTCGAGGTTTGAATTTAGTGTTCAGTTCCTTGAGCTTAAGAAATGCTGAGCGAGTTTGACCCTTTTGGTTTTCTGACTCCAAATCCTTGCACATTTCATTGTAATATTTTACTGTGTCATCCCGTGCTACCTTTTGAAAACTTCTGTTCAGCTATTTAGTATCTTGAATTCTTTCTTGTGCTTTGGCTTCTCTGTGCTCCAGTGCAATATTCAGGGTTTCTTCTGACATCCATTTTGGTCTTTTCTTTCTCTCCTGTCTTTATAATGAACGTTTGCATTCTTCTTGGATGATACCACGGTATCCTCCCACAACTCATCTGGCCTTCACTCATTCATGTTCAAGGCCTCAAACCTGTTCTTGAGATGGTTCTGAAATTCAGGTGGGATAGAATCAAAGTTATATTTTGGTTCTCATGGATTCGGTTTAATTTTCCTCAACTTCAACTTGAACTTGCATATGAGTAGTTGGTGGTCTGTTCCACAATCACCTCCTGGCCTAGTTTTCACAGCTGATATTGAGCTTCTCCAGCGGTTCCTTCCACAGATGTAATTGATCTGATTCCTATGCATACCATCAGGTGAGATCCATGTGTATAACCTGTGTTACTGTCTCTTAAAAAATGTGTTTGCGATGACTAAATCATTGTGCAAAATTCAATCATTCTATCTCCAGCTCCATTTCTGTCTCTGAGTCCATGTTTTCCGACTACTGATTCTTCTTCTCTCTTCCCAACTTTTGCATCCCAGTCACCCATAATTATCAATGCATCTTTATTACATGTTTGATCGATCTCTGACTGTAAAAGTTGGAAGAAATCTTCTATTTCCTTTTTTGGCTCTGGTTGTTGGTGCATATATCTGAATGATAGTGGTATTCACTGGACTTCCTTGTATGTGCATGGATATTATCCTGTCACAATATTGTACTTCAAGATGGTTCTA